ATTTTTCTATATAATAGCTGTTTTGTTTGGAATCAAAAGAGACATTGGTCTGAATCCAGAATTGTTTTCATTTTAGTGCACTAAAATATCTTAAAATTATCGTTATTTTAGGTCAACACAGAATGTTCCTGATTTCATTTAAAACAGCTACCCAGTGATGAAAAAGCTAGAGCCCCTGTGGTCCACCAGATGTCTGTCTTAGACTTACTCTCCTTTTCTGCTAACCACTCCATCAGCACATGTTAGAAAATAATTATTTGTAGCTTTAAATTAAATAGTAAAAGAATTACATGTGTTTAGTACCATATCATTTGTGGACTCTTATCTATAATTAATTCATTTAAAAGCATGTGACAATTTAATATTCTGTTTTACTGCTTCTGTATGTGTTGCATTTTCCTTATTTAAGGCCATATTTCTACCTTGGACTCCATCTTTAATTGCTTACTATGAATGGCTAGGAAAATCACTAGAGTGTATAATAATGTTGATAAGAAATTGTACACCTCTGAGAAGCCTGCCTCGTATCACAAACTTACCTTTCCTGTATTTTTATTCTCTCACTTCTGATTGGTTGGTATATTTCCATTTTGTCTTAAAATAGATTGTAACCTCTTCCAAATACAGCCTTTGTCTTCCAGTCTCTGAAATTAGAATAACAGGGCACCCGCCCTTGGATGGACTTTGTGGTAGAACTGCAATGTAATTATTGGCATGTAGGTTTTAACATGGTATGGTAAAACTAATGTTAAAATAATAAAATAATGACACTCTGAAGTGCAACTCTGAATTTTTTAGCAGTGAAAAAGCTGTATTGTACTTCTAAAGGAAAGCAATGGTTGCTTTCACTGCTTATATAGAATATGACTTGCTCCATTTGAGTGAGTTGGTTTTTAAACCCTAACAGGCTCATCAACTATAGGTTACTTACTTTTGCAGTGTGTTGTAGCCCTTCCCATTTCCTATAATCTGCTGCACCTGTAGCAGACTTCTTGTGCTGTCACTAGTCCCGCTCAATCTCCTGAACTCACCCAGAAGGACAAAAGGAGTTCTCCAAACAGGTTGTGGTCCTCCTAAGCCACCATAAAACTTGAATATGTCCACGGTGGTCTCCCTTTGTGCTCTTAGACAACAGAAGGGTACAAAGTTTCTCTCTGGAATTGAGTAATGCATTTAATTTTTTATTTTTATTTAATTGGTCGAGAGTCGAATTGGTAAGAGTAAGAAAATACAGATGGCAGGGAGACTTTTTACCCAGGGCCTGTAGTGACAGGACGAAGGGCAATGGTTTTAAACTGAAAGGGGGTAGGTTTAGATTGGACATAAGGAAGACCTTTTTTTACGACGAGGGTGGTGAGACACTGGCACAGGTTGCCCAGAGAAGTTGTAGTTGCCCCATCATTGGAAGTGTGCAAGGTCAGATTGGATGGGGCTTTGAGCAATGTGACCTGGTGAAGGATGTCCCTGCCCATGGCAGAGGGACTGAAACTAGATGGTCCTTAGAGGTCCCTTCCAAACCATTACATTTTTGTTAGACTGAGTTTTTTATTTACTTGTTCTCTTTCTTCTTTTTTTTTTCTCCTTTATTTTATTGTAGTTTTTGGCTCTTACTAAAAAAAACCCCAACAACAAAAAAACGGATTTCATCCTCTTATTTGCCCATTGGACTCATCATTGCAATATCTTGAGGGTAAATTTTGTCATGGAAGGATGATTACATGCTTTTCAGAACAATTTAATTTGATATAACAATACTGTAACTGATGCTAAATCTTCCAGAGAGATTCTGTAGAATATCCAAATTAAGCACAATAACCAATCCATGTCTGTATTTGAATAACTAAGCTAACTGTGCTTTATTTTGTATAATGCATTTGTACTGTTATAAAATTAGTATAAATTATCAGAGAAAAAGGTAGATTTGTCCTACCAAAGATAAAACATTTTTATTGGTAATGAAATATTATGACATTCTATCTAAGTGCTGATATAATTTCACAAATGTGTTGAATCATGTTATCATGGGGAACAAGGGACTCTTTCTGCGGAAGGTCTAGTCAAGAGAGGGCTAACATTAAATGGAGTTAATATACAATTTCCTGTAATTTGGAGTTTAACCATATTGCTACTGTAGGTGGGCAAGAAAGAATTATGTGATACCAAGCCTGAAATAATTTAATCAGGAATGTAAATCAGTTATGTGCTTCAGTTACCAAATGTTGATAGAATTGGCTATGGTAGATTGTTGTTTTTTAATTACAGCTGCTCTGTAATGCTGTTGTGTTACCAGGTTCCAAGAAGGAAAATAGTATAGCATGGCAGTTTGCTATGCCAAATGACCACTGCTTCTGCCAAGTATAAATACTGCCAGGAGAGGGATCTTCTATAGGATGATAACCGCATCCCTAAACTAAATGAATGCCACATTTCCCTATATGTATTTATGTTTGGATAATTTATTTAAATAATGTTCCTAGTACATGCTTTATAGCCTTCTGCCTTTTGCTACACAAATTTTAGCTTATATTGCAGACTGTGCAAGTCATTTGGCAAATGTAATTTCCATCCCTGCATACTAATCGATTTCTTCACAAACACCTGCTATCAGTTATGATAATAAAAATGCCATTCTAAATTGAAAAGGGGCCAAATGGAGCTTCCTAAGGAAATGACTTAAGTGTCTTTCAATGCCTTTAATGTAGTAATGTTCTTGTAGTGCCAACACTTTTTTTGAGCATTTGCATTTTGTATAATTTTACTCTATTACATTATTTTTCTGTCTAAATGGTTCCTCATAACCATTGCTATGAAGTAGTTCAAAGTGAAGTTGGAGAGGAATTTCTGTGTTTCCTCTCCCATGGGATTAAATCCAGCAACTTCATGTAGTCAAAATTCCTTAGCACAGGTCTGATTGGAACATCTGGCCACTACACCAGTATAATTATTGAACAGTTGTATCGGTTCCTATAACATCACTGGGAAAATGTTGTAAAGTTGGTAGGTGCTTTGCCCTTGGACTGCGTGCCAGTTTCTTCCTAGAATATAAGCCTAAATTTAGCAGCCAGATTGCAAGTAGCATTTGAATTACCCAGGGTCGCGTTATGGCTCCTTCCATCCCAGGAAATAACTTCCCAGCAACACTCTTTGCCAGAACCTAATGATTTTCAGCTCTGCTGGGTCTTGTCTCAGCTCTGAAATGTCTCGCTGGCTTTCAGCTGTGTTGTCATCTCCCCTGACAATGTCCTCTGCATTATTTGTAAGGAAACAATCCATTTTACTGATTTCTTCACATTTTCATTCTCTCTTAGCTCTAGCCGCCCAAGCGTATGCGCTAAAGGAAGAGAACGATAGTCTCCGATGGCAGCTGGATGCTTATAGGAACGAAGTGGAACTCCTGAAACAGGAGAAAGGACAGCTTTTTCGAACAGAAGAAAGCCTTACGAAGGACCAGCAGCTGCAGTTCCTTCAGCAGACAATGCAAGGCATGCAGCAGGTATTGCTAAGGAAGAGAAGCACAGGTCGTCTTTTTTAGGAAAGCGATACCATGGGGCTGTGCTGTACTCAAGACTATTAGCCATGAAGGTCCTGATGTATTTTCAGAGTCAAAATCTTATGGATTTTAGACAGGGGGAAAGGGGAGGAGGAACTGGGGACATATTTAGGGGTAGTAATTTTAGGACTTTATAAACTGTGAGTCCATCAATTATTCCAGCAACTCCTTATGCATGTTTATTTAGGAACAAATTACTCCAATACATCCCCTATTGCTCTCCTCAATCCAATTGCACAAAAGTTCGAGAAAGTTTTTCCAGTGTAGCATAGATCAGTGCTGCCTTTGTTATAATTCATCTGTATCTTTAGATGCATCTCCATTTCTTGGCTTTGTCTTTTTTCTGCTGACTCTTGTTTGAAAATGATTGAGATATCTCCAGCTTGTCTAGACTAGCCTCCTGCTTATTTGCAAGTGGATAGCAATATCAATGCTCTCTCCTGAGCTTTTATCATTTATGCTGATCCATAGATGTAACCTTTTCATTCAGGCAATTTTTAAGTGGTTTAGTGCAGCAACAAAGCTTTTTCTCTGACATCAGTCAGACAGAAACTGCAGTGTGTCCCTGTAGGGAGGATTCAGTTTATCTTATCGATTCTCCATTATTTGTCAGTGTGCTCCTGATGTTGTGCTGGGAAAGTCTTGGCCAGCACATCCAGACTGCCCCCACTGCTTCATCTGACGTGTCCACTAGCACATAAGCGCTCCTCATTTAACACGCATGCCTACAACCTCTTTCCTGCCCAGGCACTTGTATTCAGCTGCTACGTGACAGAGCGCAAGAGCAGTGGCTTCCCACTCCACAGCACTGGTTTGGGCTCCCATCTAGAACAGAGCTTCTCAAGATGTCACTGCAGAGGTTAATTTTGCCTTCATCTGTGCCCTGAAGCAACGAGAGCACTCCCCTGTCACTCGTGGTTACTAGATTCCGGAAGGGGACCAGTTGTACCCACTTCCAGATTGTACTAAGCTGGTTTTTGATGGCAAAAACCAGGAGACGTTCATTTGCATTTGAGCTGCCTGGTTGGGCTAGCAATTATACTGCTATCACAGTACCCATCGAATCCAACAAGTCTGCAAATCCCATCTAACACCAAATAAGAGCACAAGAGAAGCCTGCGCATCTGTTTATATGAACTTAAACTCCTTTAAGCCTGCAGAGGTTTACAAAATTAGGATGATTTATGATACAGTGTAGTTATTCTGAATAAAATATTTGAAAAATAGAAAATAACTCCTTGATAATTCAGGAATAAAATCTTTCCTGAATTTAGGAATAAAGTCATTAATCAGAAATACTTGAGGATTCAATATACTTTAGATATGCTTGAGGTCTATGCGCAATCTTATCCTTATATTAATGGATGCTTAAATATCACTGACTTCATTAAATTTAACTGCATATATAAATATTGTGGTAAATTTCAGCCTGGTGCTAATTCACCATTAAAATTAGCCAAAAGTGGGCACAAAATACTACTAAATCAAAATGCTAGAGCCCTAATGCTCCTTTTGCATTATTATAATTTCCTACCTGGGGTCTGGATGAAAGGTAATCAAGTCTGTAGAATATAAATAGATTTCTGTCGTAACTTCAAGCAAATGTTAATAATGCAAGTCAATAGCAGAGAGTGACTTACTTATCTCTCTGTTCAGCTAGCAATGGACACTGCAGTCCCTATTCCTCTGAGAGTTTCTATGTTCGTGACAATTTTGCTGTGAGTATCTGAATTTTTCTAGTTTGCCATCTTGGGGTCAGACCTACTAACTCTCAATGGGATATAATTAGAGATGGCCCAAGGAGCTGGAGAAGACATTGCAGATAATCCAGTCTGACAATATGCTGAGGAGGGCAACAACAGAAAAGCACAGGAGGTGGAGTTCAGAATATTAGGTGGGAAATTAACAGTCAATTAAGCAGCTGGATGGTGGTTTTAAATTTCAGTGATTAGCTGTAGTAATGACGTCCCATAACCTTTGTGCTTTTCGTGCATTTCATGCATGAATATTTAGAAATAAAGTTTTGATTTAGGTAGACTGTTTTATCTCAGCTTGGTTTTGCAAATGTTGAGAGATGACAACCTTAGCTAAAATCTATCAGTACAGCAGGTGCTCAGCATCTATGGAAATCAGTTTCTCTATGAAATATTAAACATATAGCCAGGACTTGCGTAGTAATAATTTAACAAGAAGACTTGTATTCTCTTTTATCCTTTTGTATATATTAAAATTAATTTCAGGCAAGGTAAACTGAATTCCACTGAATTCTTGAACCCTGAATATACGTCAGCATTTAAAAAATGTATTCTTCCTTGTTCTTTCCTCTTCATTCTCCCCTGCTTTTTCATACACCTCTTCTTCTTCTAACTTTGAAAAGTAGAGAATAAGTGATTCCAGCTGCAGCCTGAAAAGCAAATTTATCTTAAAAAAAGTGGATGCATTTTCAGAATCCAGAATTTTTTTGTAAACATATTTGGTGCCAAACAATAGCAGATAACACAACATCAATGTATTTTTAATGTACTTCTACCATCTGGATATGTTTCAGGATTCTTTTCCACATTTGCAGAACTGATGAAATGAATGTTTATATTCTCTTTCATCACTGCTACTGATCTGAAGTAGTATCCGCAAAATCACACCCATGTTTGCCTATGAAGTATATCTTATGGCTGTAGTAGCAACCTGCTTATTTATTGTGTCTAAAAAAGTCCTTTGGACTAATGACATTGAACTTATGGGGTTCTTAGTCAACTTCCTCCATAAAAATGTGTCACAGTTTAATTTCATACCCACTGTGAGATCTCAAACAAATGGAAATAATGTCTTGTATCCATGGCAACAAATGAGATACACTTTACCTGATTTTGAGATGGAAATTGAATTAACTTGTCACTGCTGCATAGGTGGTATTGCCTTCAATTTACTTCTATATGAGAATGGCTGTTTTTCCAGCAGTGTTTGGTATTCTCTAACAAAGTCTGTGATCACAAGGAAGGATGTTTTAGTCGTAACTATTTTTACAGTTCTTCACAGCACAGCTCTAAGAATTTTTTAAATCTTGTCTCTCTGTCTGAAATGTTTTACCAGATACATGACTATAGGTAATGCGGAAAATATCACCTACTAGTTTTGCTTAATGCCGGCCATTATAAGACTCAGTTTTCAGTGGGTATATAATTTATCCAAATTTTAACCATGTTCCATGTGGAGTAGCAAGCAGAAATCTTTTGAAAAATTCTCATCAAAATGTTTCAGCCATTCCAAGAACAAAGCAAGAAAACTGTACTTTTCTTCTTTGTTGTCCACCAAGGAAAATTCCTGAGGAAATGCACTTGCCACCTTCATGCTTTGAAACAAGGACTCAGAATTCGACAGTGAGCTGCTATTGAATTAATGATGTGGTTTCCATATCCTTTATAAAATCTGCCTGAAATTGATATCGTTACAAGCCTTTGGAAAATGTCGATTTGCCACACAGGAGATAGAATGCATTAGCACATATTCAAGTAAATTTTAGATTTTTACTGGTCGTCTAGGATTGTTCATTAACCACCTCCATAGCACAGCCACCAGTGCAGTGTTTTACTCCTTAAGTTAGTCCTAAGTCTACCTAATGGAACACACCTCCCTTAGCATGGCTCTCTAATTGAAAAGTCAGTTCCACATTTTTGTCAGGCTTAATTGGCCACGTTATGGGGCCATACTTGCATAGCTGTACTGATTCCTGAACCAGTTCATTTGCCAGTAGATTGGTAATTCTGCATGGTGCTTCACTGCATCATGTAAATGTGTGATAATGTTCTTTTCTCTCACAACTCCCTGAGCTTGATGGGCTGAATTCAAGCTCCTACAGGCAAGGGTGTCATCCATAAATCCCCATTTAAATCATGCTTCTACCTATGTTTTCTCCAGGAAATGCACATGAGTGCCTACAATTCTGCTATTGGAAATGCCAGGGTATATCTGGGACATTTAAGAGGCACCTCATTGCCCCAGTCCCCTAAAGGCACCAATTCATGTGCTGTGCTCATATTCATACTCCTAACACACAGTGACAGCACAAGCTCCTCTTCATTAGTGGGGTTGCATTAAAGCCTAGCCATGAGATTATTGCATGAGTGGTGTGCCTCTCCTAAAATTAGTGCTCGGGATGGAAAGCAAGAACAATAGGAACAGTTGTGGGTGGTAGGCATAGGGCTGACATAAGACTGATACACGTCTGCGGGTGTCATCAACTCTGTTGGCTCAGGATGTCTCAGCGGAAGACTGAACATATTCTGACACTATTGATGACCCAGATGGGTGTCACTCTGATACAGCATGATGAAAGTCTTCTTTTGTCTTCTTTTTTTCCCCAAGCAATGTCAATTTCACTTGAATAGCAATGCAGATTATGCACCTGAGCACTGAGAAGCCAGGAATTCCCCAAATGCTCGCCTGTGTATTTTGCTTCATATACTTTAGAGACCCTTCCCCATTTGATGCAGCAGAGAGTGCACAGTTAATCATCATCTCTTCTGTACCTTCCTGTCATTGCTGTTAAATATGCAACATGAGATCCTGCTGCAAAGGCCACATTGCTCCTGACGTTTCCCACCTACTGAGGACTAGCTTTTGCAGTTTACTAATCATTTAACTTGTAAAATCTGAAACTTACACATCTCATAAAAGCCAGATGATTAGCAATCATTTCAGGCTTTCAGCGTTCCTCCAGAGGAGGACTGTTTGCTCTGTGATGTGCCTCACCACTGTGATCAGGAGGGTGAGAAGAACTGCTGGAGTGCATTTCAGCTCCCTCTTTAGCCTCAAAGGAGGATGGCCAGTGTATGCATTTGGTGATGAGGACTATGGAGTGCACACAGCTCCCACAGTACAGTCACTGGGAACTTGATTAGGACCTTTTGGTCTAAGTGAGATGGCACAAGGGTCATGTCTCAACT